CGACTTTCCATCACAGCTAACGAGATAAAAGATGAAGACATCAACGATAAGCGGGAGAATTACCGCAGGCTGCTACGGCATAGCAGCTGTCACATGACTTTTTTTGTTCTCGAACTGGGCCAAGTGCACCAGCGGCAGCCCAGTCGATAGAAGCTGGTAGATCACCCACCGTCTCGATACCCTCGCTGACTGAAGGAACTCGTAGCGGCCTCAAGGGATATACTGCAGGTGAGCTCTAATACCTGTGGCATTTACATCAAAAGGTGAGCTCATATCATACGTCATCATTTCAGCAAATAGCTCTTCCGGCATGTCAGAGAATTCATTAATACCGACCTCATGTTTTATCTCACCTAGAATATAAATCATCTCGTCAAGAATTCACATGCCTAAGGCACGATGCCTTACTGCTCTTCCTCAATTGTTCAATCTTTTTCTTATTCTGCTCGAAAGCCCTCTTGGCAATTTCATACTCTCTGGGAGAGTTGTAGACCTTGCTATACCTTTTTTGAGTTGCATCGATGTGCATGCTACATCACCTCCTCAGATGCGACTTACTGTACGATGAAATCTTCGAAAGTATCAGTATCAGCGGAAATCGCCAGAGCAATATATGGCAGGTATCCAAGGACTACTCTCATGGCTTAAATGAGAAGCTAACTGAAGAAAACGTCTCTTGCTCTCACTCGAGTCGAAGGGCTCGACCCAACTTGTGTGCTGCTCGACCAGCAGTACTCCTTCTGAACCAGAAATCAGCGCATGCTACACGTCTCGTTGGCATGCACGCTGGTACATACCGTCAGAAAACAACGTGCTTGCCCGTGTTCAATCCATTGCGCGACAAACTTGGAGGAGCACGGGTTATGACATGCTAACAATACTTGTTGCCGGTCCAGGTAGTAGCCTGATAAGAGACTTACTCCGCTTCGCCTAAGTTTAGGCACGAGCCGGCCCGCAACCCCTGTTGTTGTCACATCTTCACTCCTATAGGCCACGCGCAGACGTGGCATCTAATTCATGATTCCGCACAAACTTGTGCGGAATGAAATAGACGGTCAGCATTGTCTCTATCTCCTGGAAAATGCATGCCGAAGCTAGTTGTCTGTGTGTTAATCCATCAATCCACATCAGGAGAGCGGATGTATTCGCAACGGCAATTTGCAGTTACTCGTTTATGAATGCTTCGCGACACATCAAGTCTCATCACGGACATCATTGCTGTGCGC